GGAAGGAAGGAAGGAAGGAAGGAAGGAAGGAAGGAAGGAAGGGGAGATGGAAAGGGAAGAAGAAGAAAAGGAAGGAAGGAAGGAAGGAGAGAGAGGCGGGAAGGGAAGAGAAGGGAAGGGAAAGAAGAACAAAAGGAAGGAAGGAAGGAAGGAAGGAAGGAAGGAAGGAAGGAAGGAAGGAAGGGAAAGAAAGAAGGAAGATGCTAAGCTAACCAGCTATGATGTAAAACAACAGATTGGTTTGTAACCTGTTTGTATGTTGTTATTTTTTTCTAGTCCGTCAGTCTAATTGAACGAGGAAACCCCTCCAGGAGCCTGGAGAACGTGTGTCGTTGGGCATATCAGCAACAAAAAACAGACCCCGGTCACTCAGAACATCACGATCACGCCATCTTTCTAACCAGGCAAGATTTTGGACCAGCTGGAATGCAAGGTAAAGTGCTCAAGTGCCCTCTCCCCACCCCTTCAGAAGCCCACTTCAGCTTTCAGTACGGAAGAGGTGCTCAATCTCTGGAAATTCAGACGGCTTCTCCTCCCTATCCCAGACGCTCTGCACTTGGCAACTTTTGCCCTAGATTATTATAAACAGTTCAATTCTCTCCACTTTCTTTATTCTTCTTCAACCGGCTGTCCATGAGATATGTAGGACACACGGTTAGAGAAAATGACAAAAAAAACCATATGGATTTTAAGCCAGAATTATTTTTGTTAGGCATAATTGTAGGAAACTATGAGAAAGAGTGTATATATCTAAGTTTACAGGTATGGACTGCAGCGAGACTTGTATTCGCTGAACATTGGAAAAATGAAGATTTACCAACGGAGAAAGAATTAATTAGAAAATTTTTAGATCATGCAGAAATGGATAAATTGACACTGAAAATGAAAGAGAAAGAAGATTCAAGTATATTTTAGAACACGGGTACCTTTTATCAATGGCTAGAGAAACGAGGTAGAGAGAAAGGAATTTAACATGTATTAGTAGGTTAAATGTTGGAAACCCAGACAATATGTTGCTGATAAAATATTAAGCATTTGTGATTATAAAAAAAATATAATTTTGGGGGTTTAAGCTTTGGTTTAAGATTTTTATCCTGGTGTTTGGATACTTGTATTACTGCTATATATATGCTGGCTCAGGAATTATGGGAGTTGAAGTCCACGAGTCATAAAAGAGCCACGGTTGCCTACCCCTGGTGTAGGCCTTACTTTTGGGGAAACAGGGTAGATATCATCTCTAGCTGGTCATTCGTGCCCTGGTCATCTCCTGTTTGGACTACAGGAAGTCCTCAACTTACCACAGTTCATTTAGTGACCGTTCAAAGACTGGTCAGTCAGAGAAAACATACCAGAAGGTCATGGAAAAACCACTTCCATATTGTTACCAAGAAAACTATCGTTCCATGTCCATCAGGTCATAAGGAGTCCAGCTCAGAATAACAGAATAATAGAGTTGAAAGGGACCTGGGAGGTCTTCTAGTCCAACCCCCTGCTCAGGTAGGGATCCCTATAACATTCCAGACAAATGGTTGTCCAATCTCTTCTTAAAAACTTCCAGTGTTGGAGCATTCACAGCTTCTGGAGGCAGGTTGTTCCACTGATTAATTAACTGTCAGGAATTTTCTCCTTAATTCCAGGTTGCTTCTCTCTTGATTAGTTTCCATCCGTTGCTTCTTGTCCTGCCTTCAGGTGCTTTGGAGAATAGCTTGACTTCCTCTTCTTTGTGGCAACCCCTGAGATACTGGAACACTGCTATCCTGTCTCCCCTCGTCCTTCTCTTCATTAAACTAGACATACCAAATTCCAGCAGCCTTTTCTTATATGTTTTAGCCTCCAGTCCCCTAATCATCTTTGTTGCTCTTCTCTGCACTCTTTCTAGAGTCTCGCCATCTTTTTTACTTCGTGGTGACCAAAACTGGATGCAGTATTCCAAGTGTGGCCTTACCAAGGCATTGTAAAGTGGTATTAACGCTTCACGTGATCTTGATTCTATCCCTCTGTTAATGCAGCCTAGCACTGTGTGGGCCTTTTTGGCAGCTGCAGCACACGGCTGGCTCCGTTGTGCCCACAGTAAAAAAATGTCAATAAAGGTTATCTTATCTTATCTTATCTTATCTTATCTTATCTTATCTTATCTTATCTTATCTTATCTTATCTTATCTTATCTTATCTTATCTTATCTTATCTTATCTTATCTTGAGACCATCCTTACCTTTCACAGCTGTGAGCCCAAGTAAACATTTAGTCCCTGATATCTGAGGTATTCTTTGAGGAAATTAAGTTTTTAAAAGCCGGGAAGAACTCTTCAGCACAAGAGTGAAATGAAACAGGATGCCTGCGAAGGCTTGTGCGCAAGGACCTCTGATAAGAACAGCTTCAAAGAACTCAACTTTGCTGCAAGTGAAGAATTTCAGAGCTTTTGATCAAGTGGGCTTTGATAGACAAAAATGCCCTTTAGTAGCCCCGATCTGTGCCAAAATAAACTCTCTCAGCTCAGAGCTCATCAACCTAAAGAGACAAGCAGAGAGGGGTACATTCGCACTTGCTCAGTTTTCTGTGAACATGAGGGCTTTGTGATGCTTTACTAAAAAGATTTTGAGAGGTATTTTGTTCCTTTGAGTCAAGCCAAATAAGTTTCTTACAATCAAAGACCAGAGACCAGAACAAGTTAAAAACACTCAAGGAATATCCGTTTAAAAAAAAATCTAAATTAAAATAATAAGTAATAGTTAAAATCTAAATTAAAATAACAATTTGGCACCCCATCCGTCAGTTAAACATGAGCAAAACATAGCGTGGCCTAAGTATACTACAATATCAATCCTTAAAACTTTGAGGCCCATTAATAATAATAATAATAATAATAATAATAATAATAATAATAATAATAATAATAATAATAATAATAATAATATCTGCCTATCCCAGATCCTTGATAAGGACTCAATAGGTAGACAAAAATCCACTCTGCCAAATCCACTCTGAACATCTGGCTGACTGTGTGATGATCAATAATAATAATAATAATAATAATAATAATAATAATAATAATAATAATAATAATAATAAATTTGGAAGGGACCTTGGAGGTCATCTAGTCCAAGCCCCTGCTCAGGCAGGAAACCCTATACCATTTCGGACAAATGGCTGTCCAGTCTTTTCTTAAAAACTTAAAAAGTGTTGGAGCATTCACCGCTTCTGGAGGCAGGTTGTTCCACTGGTTAATTGTTCTAACTGTCAGGAAGTTTCTCCTTAGTTCTAGGTTGCTTCTCTCCTTGGTTAGTTTCCATCTGTTGCTTCTTGTCCTGCCTTCAGGCGCTTTGGAGAATAGCTTGACTATTATTAACCTGATGCCTTAAATATTGCAGCAAACTCATAGCAGCCCTTAACCACATTCAGTTCTCAACTCTAAAACTTAGAAGCAAAAATATAGCAGTATAAGCTTCAGAAACTCTCTAATGTAGCAGATTTGACTTTCTTTCTTTCTTTCTTTCTTTCTTTCTTTCTTTCTTTCTTTTTTTAAAAAAGGCAGAAATAAAAATCAAAGCCCTTTCAGGAGCCAACTAAGTCCCAGATCTTCCAAATACAGGTAGTCCTCAACGTACAATGTTAAGGTATTGATTTAACAGCTAGCCAGCTTATGTAATGTAAGATGAAAGATGTAATGTAATGGTGGGAATGACTGAGCAGGGTCTGTGTCTCTTTAAGAGCCTTTGTATAACAGGAAGGCTCTGCTGATGTGTTCTCTCTCTTCTTCCATTTCCGGCTATAATTGTGGTTTGTTGGATCCTGCTCTATTAACACATGTGTGTATATTGTTCCTGGTGTATGATATTGCAGATAGTGTAAGATAAACCACCATTTAATGCAAACCACTGTTTACTGTGTTTACTCCTGGGGCAATAAAACTGTGCACGCTCTGACATGCAACCCCCTTCATTTAATGACTTTAGTTACAACAGCACTGAAAAAAGGGACATGATCATTATTCACACGACTGTCACAGCATCCTCGAGTTCCCCAAGTGACCTAAAAGACTCTCAGCTGACAACCGACCTTCAGACGTAAAGAATATAAATCTTTCTGTTCCCCGCCATTCCATCAGAAATGAAGAAGCTTCTTGGATGAGAAGCAAAGTGTTTTCAAGGAAACAAAACGCTAAGGAAAGTCCAGTTGCCTTGTGGAAAAGCAGTTTCGGGACCTGGGCGATTGAGAATCTCCATAGCCATTGTTGTTGTTAGTTGCGAAGTCGTGTCCGACCCATCGCGACCCCATGGACCGCATTCCTCCAGGCCTTCCTGTCCTCTACCATCTTCTGGAGTCCATTTAAGCTCACGCCTACTGCTTCAGTGACTCCATCCAGCCACCTCATTCTCTATCGTCCCCTTCTTCTCTTGCCCTCAATCTTTCCCAGCATCAGGCTCTTCTCCAGTGAGTCCTTCCTTCTCATTAGGTGGCCAAAGTACTCGAGTTTCAACTTCAGGATCTGGCCTTCTAAAGAGCAGTCGTGGTTGATCTCCTCTAGGACTGACCGGTTTGATCGCCTTGCAGTCCAGGGGACTCGCAGGAGTCTTCTCCAGCACCATAGTTCAAAGGCCTCCATTCTTTGGCGCTCAGCCTTTCTTATGGTCCAGCTTTCACAGCCATACCTTGCAACTGGGAAAAACATCTTGTTTTTTTTTCACAGGCTACGCTCCAGTCACAGGCATGTGTCATCCGGTGAGGAGCTGCACTCTAAATCACGAAGATGGGTTTTCTTCAGCTTTTGTGGTGGCCCACGAAACTGGCCACGTGTAAGTCTCAACATAAAACGGGATTTTCCCTTGGTGGCTCCTGGATTAAATCGAACCCCGGTATATTGCATCTCTCTTCTCTCCATCCAGCTGTCCATCTGGGGAAGCCGGCCACATCTCCTTAAAAATTGTTACCACAAATTAGATGACAGGTAACCCTTGACTTACAACCCTCTTTTTAGTGACCGTTTGAAGTTAGAACGGCACAATTGTAGCATCCCCTTGGTCACGTGATCAAACTTTGGCCACATTGGCAACTGACTGGTACTTATGGCGGTTGCAGTGTCCCGGGGGCATGTGGTCAACTTTTGCGACCTTCTGACAAGCAAAGTCAGCGGAGAAGCCAGTTTTGCTTAACAGGCACATTAGCAACCTAACAACAGCATTAATTCACTTAACAAGTGCGGCAAGAAAGGTCGCAAAAACCCACTGAACAGAAATTTGTGGTCATAAGTCAAGGACTATCTGTACTTATTAATTGCTGAGTCTAAATTCTGCTTTCGAGGTCGTACTTGGTACCTAGGACCTTTAGGAGAGCTGTTGTCCAATGGGAGACAAGTGTGTTGATTTCGTCCAATAGGAGACAACCGTGTACCTAGGACTTTTAGGAGAGCTATCGTCCAATGGGAGACAAGCGTGTTGATTTTGTCCAATGGGAGACAAGTGTACCTAGGACCTTTAGGAGAGCTATCATCCAATGGGAGACAAGTGTATTGATTTCGTCCAATGGGAGACAAGTGTGTACCTAGGACCTTTAGGAGAGCTATCGTCCAATGGGAGACAAGCATGTTGATTTTGTCCAATGGGAGATAAGTGTGTACTAGGACCTTTAGAAAGCTATCGTCCAATGGGAGACAAGCATGTTTATTTTGTCCAATGGGAGATAAGTGTGTACTAGGACCTCTAGTAGAGCTATTGTCCAATGGGAGACAAGCATGTTGATTTTGTCCAATGGGAGACAAGCGTGTACCTAGGACCTTTAGGAGAGCTATTGTCCAATGGGAGACAAGTGTACTGATTTCATCCAATGGGAGACAAGTGTGTACCTAGGACCTTTAGGAGAGCTATTGTCCAATGGGAGACAAGCATGTTGATTTTGTCCAATGGGAGATAAGTGTGTACTAGGACCTTTAGGAGAGCTATCATCCAATGGGAGCAAGCGTGTTGATTTCGTCCAATGGGAGACAAGCGTGTACCTAGGACCTTTAGGAGAGCTATCGTCCAATGGGAGACAAGTGTGTATGCTTTCCGTATTTTGATGTTTGAAAAGGAGACCAATTGTAGTCAAACCCATCTGAAAGACCGGATAGAGGTTTCCACCGGTTTTTCTCATTCCCCACCCCTAATTAATTCTGACATGTTGTTCTTTGATTCAGACTAGGGATGGAGCACGATGGACAAGGGAACCGATGTGGAGATGAGACAGCGATGGGAAGCGTCATGGCGCCATTGGTGCAAGCAGCTTTCCACCGATACCACTGGTCCCGTTGCAGTGGCCAAGAACTCAAAAGATACATACAGTAAGGACCAATCTCTTGCTAACAGATACTACTATATCATAGAATCACTGGAAGGGACCTTGGAGGCCTTGTAATCTAACCCCCTTGCCCAAGGCAGGAGTCTTTATAACATCCTGGACAAATCTTTTCTTGAAAGACTGGAGCACCCACCGCTGTGCAGGATCTGACGTGTTGCTTGATAAAGAAACACAGGAAACCAGAAGTGGCCTTTAAGCTTTACGTTTTTATTCAGCTGAACAAAGACGGGCTCCTCTAAAAGGGAGAGGTCCCGAATGACAGAAAATCCCTATTTTTATACTTTCTGATTACACAAGCCAGTCATGTCAAACACAAGGCCCGGGGCCCGGATGCGGCCTGCAAAGTGGTTTCATGTGGCCCGCGAAGCCATCCTGGAAACAGTGAGGGAACGGCCCCCGCTGCCTTGGCCCTGGCCCAGGCCGGCTGGGAGCCAATATACAATTTTGTGGTGGCCATCTATGCTGAAACGCATTCAGTCTTAGCTCCACAAGGCCGTCCGGAAACAGTGAGGAACCAGCCCCTGCCGCGTCGGCCCCATCCCCTGGGTGCATGCTGGGGAGGTGTCACCCTTTGTGAGGAATGAAGAAATGCACCATCGCCTGGAAGTGGCCAGCAAATGGCCCTCGCCTACTTCACCTATCCGGCTTGATGGACTCTGCCGTGGTCCCACCCCCTTCTGCCAGAAACCCTCAGATCTGTCCCACTCCTGCCCAGGCCCCTACAGGCACCCTTGACGTGAATGATGTAGAGCTGGCCATGCCCACCCAGTAGGCTTCACCCACCCTGGCCACACCCACCCGGCCCCCCAAGGGCAACCACAATGCTGATGCGGCCCTCAGTGAAATTGAGTTTGACACCCCTGACATAAGCAGTCACTTGTCTGAGATGGTATAGGTTCTCCTGCTTGAGCAGGGGGAAGGGACATTGGACACCTCCAATGTCCCTTCCAGCTCTATTCTATTCTAATCAAGAAAAGAACCAACCTAGAACTAAAAAAATCCCTGATAGTTAGAACAATTCATCAGTGGAACGACTTGTCTCCAGAAGTTGTAGGTGCTCCAATACTAGAGATTTTTAAGAAGAGATTGGACAACCAATTGTCTGAAATGGTATAGGATCTGCTGCTTAAGCAGGGGGTTGGAGTATAAGACCTCCAAGGTCCCTTCCAACTCTGCTATCCTGTTATGATTGATCCTCCAGACCCCTTCTCATCTTTGTTGCTCTTCTCTGCACTCTACATGCCTCTACTGGCAACTAGACCAAGCTAGGAACATTATTAACTGACCAACATCCAGCCAAGGTGTAAATTTGAACTGGAAGAATGTGTCATTTAAATGACAAATGATGGTCACCAGAGGCAGAACCATTGAGAGTAACACTGTTTTCCCATTCCTTCCCTGCTTGTAAGGTTGATTCTTTCCATGACTCACCAAGTCCTGGTGTGAATCAGGAAGACTCATAGCAAGAACCTATGGGTACTGTAATGGCAATAAAACTATTGATGCACTGTTGGGCTGGCACACAGTGTAGGGTTGGGCACATGCTTCCGAGTGATGCTCATTTTAGAAAGAGATGAGCAGCCTGTGGTTAACATGGCCTTACATGTCCTTTGGTGAAGCTCCCGGAGCCTCTTCGGAACAATTTGCCAGATCTGAATGTGGCCTAGCTGCCAAAAGTCAGCAGTAGAGTTGCCAAAAATTGGTATTGTGGTCTGCCACTGTTCTGTGGCAGGAAACAGAAAATCAACTCCAATACAAGCCTTAAAATAGCTTAATACAGTTAAGAAAAGGGAAAGGCAAGAAGTGAAGAGTTTACCCTCATCCCATTAGGAATAATATAGAATATTATAGAATATAGAATATTATGTATATGTATATATTATCTTGAGTTTGGTGCACCCTGTCGGCCCAAATATGGGAGAATTAATTCTTTGTTAGCAATCCAAATTTTGAAAAATATGTATATATGTATATTTATATGTATATGCATATGCATATCTATCTATCTATCTATCTATCTATCTATCTATCTATCTATCTATCTATCTATCTATCTATNGAGAGAGAGAGAGAGAGAGAGAGAGAGAGATATCTATATCTATCTATATCTATCTAGATCTAGATCTAGATACAGATACAGATACAGATACAGATACAGATACAGATATTAGATAGATAGATAGATAGATAGATAGATAGATAGATAGATAGATAGATAGATAGATAGATAGATAGATAGATAGATAGATAGATTATATATCTATGAGGATTCTCAGTCATCCAGGTCATGGTTGTCCCAAAGGTGCTTTTTCATGAGGCAACTGGACTTCCTTGTTTTTCTTTGAAGACGTTTTGCTTCTCATCCAAGAAGCTTCTTCAGCTCTGACTGGATGGTGGAGAAGGGAAGGATTTATACTCCTTGCAGACAGCTGGTCATTTGCCTTCTTTTAGAGAGTCGTTGAGGCCACTTGGAGGTTTATCTGTGTCCTCAGGGTGACTTGAGTGGTGCAAATGGGTGTGGAGCCTCCATGGCTCCAGGAGGGACACAGGGCAGAAAGCATCCTGATACCAAGAAGGCTGTACACACCCATTTGTTTTCTTTTCTAAGACATGCCCAAAATCTCCCTGCTTTGAGATGCAACTGAGTTTCTGTGAAAACACCAACCTGTGTTGTAATGGCCTCCTGACAATATCTTGTAAGAATTCAGCATCCTTGCGTCAGAAAGGATCGAAATTTGTAATCATCATCATCATCATTTGGGGCTTTGGAGTCACTACTTGGGGATTCTGCAGGTAGTTTGCTGCCAAACCTTAGTTAAAAAAAAGATGAATTGGTTTTCAGAGTAATTAGATGCTGAAGTATCATCCTCAGTGAGATTACGACTTAGGTAACATCACCAGATGTTGCCAAGAGCCTAAAGATGTTACCTAGTTTTGGTAATGAAACATCTGCAAGGGCACAACCAAAGTCAGAGAGCACCAAGGACTCTTCATTGGTGCAATAAAGTTGGTCTGACATGATCTGCTTTTGACAGACCCATGTGGGCTTCTAGTAATTCATAGCTGACCATTTTGTCTCCTTTTGGTTTTCTCTCGCAGTTCTTACGATTGTCTCCTCGACGACCCTTTTGAACATAATTGGCCGAAACTTCCTGAACTGCCAGGGGTAAATTATTCCATGGACGAGCAATGTCGCTTTGATTTTGGAGTGGGCTACAAAATGTGCACGGCGGTAGGTCTTCCTCGGTTCCTATCAAGTAAAGCTGAATTATAGTTTCAGTATCAAGATACATCAGCCCAAATCGGAGTTGATTGTGACATGATTTAGGCAAGAAAAACCAAATGCACAGGTATACTATAGGTGGTTCCTTGCTCAATAGTAGTAACTGTGAGAGGGACCTTGGAGTCCTAGTGGACAATCACTTAAATAGGAGCCAGCCGTGTGCTGCAGCTGCCAAAAAAGCCAACACAGTGCATTAACAGAGGGATAGAATCAAGATCAGGTGAAGCGTTAATACCACTTTACAAGGCCTTGGTAAGGCCACACTTGGAATACGGCATCCAGTTTTGGTCACCACGATGTAAAAAAGATGTTGAGACTCTAGAAAGAGTACAGAGAAGAGCAACAAAGATGATTAGGGACTGGAGACTAAAACATATAAGGAAAGGCTGCTGGAATTGGGTATGTCTAGTGTAATGAAGAGAAGGATGAGGGGGGACATGATAACAGTCTTCCAATATCTCAGGGGCTGCCACAAAGAGGGAGTCAGGCTATTCTCCAAAGCGCCTGAAGGCAGGACAAGAAGCAACAGATGTAAACTAATCAAGGAGAGAAGCAACCTAGAACTAAGGAGAAACTTCCTGACAGTTAGAACAATTAACCAGTGGAACAACCTGCCTTCAGAAGCGGTAAATACTCCAACACTGGAGGTTTTTAAGAAGAGACTGGACACCCATTTGTCTGAAATGATATAGGGTTTCCTGCCTGAGCAGGGGGTTGGACTAGATGACCTCCAAGGTCCCTTCCAACTTCATCATCATCATCATCATCATCATCATCATCATCATCATCATTACTATTACTATTACTATTATTATGTATCCCCCTTTCTTTATTCATAGTTTCAGTGTAGAAGCTGCAATTTTGGGAGAAAAGAGGAGGGCCTGAGACTTATGACCATTTTCAGTTTGACCACATCCAGATCATTGACACCTCAGTTTAGGGAGAATTTCCCATTGTTTGCTGTATAGGCAGTCCTCGACTTACAGCTATAACAGTGCCTGCCTATTAAGGGTTGCTAAGTGAATCATCACACGACTGTCCTGATTTGTACAGTGGTCATTAAGTGAACAATGCTATCGTTAAGCAAGCCCACTTTTCATTGTGGGGCGTTTTGGCCAAAAAAAACCCCAGAAGTGGAAGCTGGATTTCAGCGGCCATATTGTCAATCAGGGTCACGTGACTGCAGGATATTGCAAATGGCCATAAATGCAAGCCGAATGGTAAGCACCCAAAATTGATCACGTGGCTGCAGAGAGTGGTGGCTGTCAGAGCTTTGGAACTAGGTCATTAGTAACTTGGGGAGGGGGGAGGGGGCTCTGTCAAAACTCTGAATGATCAATAAGCGATCTGTCATAAGGACTATCTGTATACTCTATCTCAGGGGTAGGCAACCATGGCTCTTTATGACTCGTGGACTTCAACTCCCAGAATTCCTGAGCCAGCGTGGCTCAGCTTGGAAACTCTCCTTTTCCCCTCAGCATGGCTGGCTCAGGAATTCTGGGAGTTGAAGTCCACCAGTCATAAAAGAGCCAAGGTTGCCTACTCTGGCCTAGGCCTAGGGCGCTTTATGACTCGTGGACTTCAACTCCCAGAGTTCCTGAGCCAGCATGGCTCAGCTTGGAAACCTCTCCCTTTCCCCTCAGCATGGCTGGCTCAGGAATTCTGGGAGTTGAAGTCCACGAGTCATAAAAGAGCCAAGATTGCCTACCCCTGCTCTATCTCATCTCTGGTTTCTCCACTGTTTCAGTTTCGAACATTTGACCCGTGTAAACAGTTGTGGTGCAGTCATCCCGACAACCCTTATTTCTGCAAGACTAAGAAGGGCCCGCCGCTTGACGGGACAGAATGTGCCCCTAGTAAAGTAAGTGAAGATGTGTTTTCAGGTTGAAACGATGCATGTATTTCAAGGGGAAACTGGGAGATGGTGAGTTTTAGTCCTGTCTTAGGCATGAAAGCCAGCTGGGCTACTCTGGGCCAATCACCAGGGGATGATGAGTTCTAGTCCCACCTTAAGCATGAAAGCCAGCTGGGTGATTTGGGCCAATCACCAGGAGACTGTGAGTTCTAGTCCCACCTTAGGCATGAAAGC